GTTTTAAAACTATGAGAAACTATCTGATATCAACCTTTAAAAAGAAGCGTTTAAAAGGTAGCCTTCCATGTGGTTCAGCGTCCTGGTAATGATGCCGATGAAAGGTTCGTGCCTTTGTAATTGTTAGCAGAAAACAGGCGATCAAGATAGAAGCCAAAGTCAACTTCAACATCATGAAAGGCGGCTGATAGTTCTGCAACATAATGGTTAATAATATAAGAAACAAAGGTACCAAACAATAGAGTTGTCCTGGGGACTTTATTAGTGAACTTACGCAACAGGACGGGAGAGGAAAGAAGACGGCAAACCTTGTGTGACAAGCGTGACAATAATTTTGCTTGAAATAACTTTTCGCCATAATTCACCTTCCTTTAAACAGATCTTTTTGTAAAAGACCAGAAAACATTGATGTTAAGTGAAGATCACGACAAAACACGTAAGAAATAGCCTTGTCACGTTTGTCACACACGAGCGTTCTGCCGTCTTCTTCTTCCTGCCGTCCCGTTGCGTAAACTCACTTTTGTGTGGTTGTGTTGTTTCTTTTGTAGTACGTAATCTGTGCCTTGTTACCTACAGAAGAAGTCGAAATTTTTTGGTAAAGCGCGCATTCACACGCGTGGCCAGTATTTACGCAAATTTATTGAAACAGTAGAAAGCGTTTATATGAGAAGAGAGTTAATCTCCCATAGGATTGGTTTGGAACGCCAATATGGCCGCCGTGACGTCATGTGTAACCGCTCTTTCGTGGCTTGATTTAAAGAAAACACTCTGCTTGTTAAATATTTGGCTATCTGTATGAATCTATAGCTGCATAGCACCAGCTTATAGCAACTCACTAAATAAAGCATCGGAAGAGACAACCCCTGAAGTTACGTTAACTTTCACCCCCCCCCCCCCCGCCGGGGGGGTTGAAACGTGACGGGGATGCTCGTTGGAAAATTGGAAATTAACCCCTAATACTAAAATAGGGATCTAAATAAGAGCTAGGGATATAACTAAGTGCCAGCGATGTGGTGTTCTTTTTTAAACGTTAGGTTGTTAGGCACTTCTTGAAAATCTCTGTTTGCAAGACCAGGGTGTCGAGTAATTTTTGTTTTCCTATTTTTTGAGCATATTCCTATTTTCTCCTATTTTTAAACTAAGACCTATTTTTAACTGGTGAAGCCGAAATTTGTAACAAAATTGAAAACGGAATTGTAGTTGTATGTGTTTTAGAGTGAGATTTATCATAAAGCAAGTAGTATGTTGACTTTGATGTTGTAATAATAGCAAAAATAATAGCTACATTTGTTTTTTCCATGACCTCTATTGCTTATTAAAGTTCTGTTAACAACTTTGTAATATTCTTACTTTCTGTATAATCTTCTAGTGCACCTGCATGTATTGTATGTAGTGTCATCGTTTTCATGACTATTGAATGACTTTGTGCAAAGCTCACTGAAACTACATTTCAGTATCTTTACAAGCTATACTTTGACGTTTTGCTCGCTTTTATGTTCATCTTTGAAACTGAAAACAGGGTCAAGTTTTCCTCTCACAACACAGGTCAGATAATCATCTAATCAGCTTCTTGTTTAAAGAAGCAATTACTTGCTGGATTCTGCAAAAAGACTCAAGTTTAGTTTACGACACTAGCTCTCTTGGTGAGCTCTTGTTAACAGCTATATCCCTAGGCAACTGACGAAGGATCCAATATTTTGGTTCCGAAACCGGTCTTGTAGTCATAGCTAAGCAGAGTGTTACGTTGTTCTGTCACACTTTGTAATACCTATCGCTCTTTGTAATAAAATTGTCGCACATTTTAATAACACTTGTCGTACTTTGTAATAAAAAAGCCGTCGCACTTTGTAATAACAGACCATTGCACTTCGTAATAAAATGAACTGTCGCACTCTGTAATAAACACTTGAGGCACTTTGTAATCAACTTGAAATGGATGGTCGGAGGACAAGTAAACCCAGTATAAAAGGCATCATTATCGGCAACAACAATAACGACAATAAAAGGAATAATTGCGGTATTACAAAGTGCGACGATTAGGGAGTTGTCAGAAATTAGCAGGGGAGGAGGGGGGGTGGGAATTTTAAATTTGGGTTCAGAAATGAGGTGACCCATCCCTGCAATGGGAGTGAAATTTGCTAACCCTCCCCTTGACCTTGGCCTAAAATATCTTGACCCTCCCCTCTTGTATAAATGATAAAATCTAGTTCTTGCAATACACTAGGGCAGGAGCCCATAACCCGGAGCGTTCAACTGCCATAAATTCGTGCAACAGCGTTTTTACAAGTGAGTTTATTTTTAGATAAGCTTTTCCCGCGAAAAATAACTGTTCCACGAGGCCAATCCCTACATTTGATCGTCGTTTAGACTGTTAGTAGTTCGCTTGGATCTTGTCACGGTCGCCTATTTCGAAGATGATTTCGATTTAATTCCCTTTTCGTGAATTATGTGTTGTTGCTGATGAAGTACAAGTCCTGGCTAGGTTTTGCAAATCTTGCTCTGAACTGCTAGTTTCCGCGTAAATACTGAAATTGTCGCTTGAAGTACTGTCAGAAGACTCCTCTGAAGATTCCTTACGTGTGTTTCAATGTGAAGGAGTTGTCCTAGTTACGTATTAAAGGTTTATCATTGATGACGCAATTTCTAGTGATTGGCTTTTCAAAAGGAATTCGCGGGAAAGGCTTATCTAAAAATAGACCTACTTGTGAAAACGCCGTTGCATAGGCGCAGTATGGAAGTTAGACGCTCCGGGTCCAGTCCTAGTTCAATATCCTTCAATGACAACGCAATCGTAAGAATTTTCTATTCTGAGAAATTTCACTCTTGGAAGCTTTTCAAAGATTTGCCACCAACTTGAAGAGAATTTGCATATGATCACTTTGATTATAGAAGCGCGCTCGACCCGTAGTCAAGCATATCATTCTGATCATCATCACAGCATAACTGAGCCAATAAACTAAACGTCACTGATCATTTTCACCTCTTTTAAGCCGCGAAAGTTAATCTAAACCTGCGAACGTAGAAGCTGAGGACTCGTAGCCTTTATTATAACCCTGATGTGGTGCAGGGAGGCTATCTTTGTCGACGAAAGTACTATTGATTTTCCTATTTTTCTCCTACTTTTAATACAAAGTTTCCTATTTTCTTAATCCTGAGTTTCCTATTTTTTTCGAGCAACCATGGCGCTGGATACCCTGACAGACTGACGTTTTGGGGGTTAGCCCCTCACTAGAGAAGCAACAGATAGCTTATACAGATAACCTCGGCTGTTCTAAATTCCTCACAGCATTCAACTTACCGTTATCGACTTCTCGCTGTTGATTAACCCAGTGAACTTCTCGCTGTTAATTAACTCAGTGTTTCACTTGCCGCCCCGCCGACGCAGCATGAAAGCTTCTTTTGAAACTAATTTACTTTCTTCTTGCTAAGTGAGTTCTACTATATTCTACCCTAACATTCGTTTGGCTTGACAAAGCATGACGAACAGAGTCAAAATGCCTCCTTCGATAAACAAGATTTTCCCCCGGGGTATAATAACATGAGATTGAAAGTGGAAAGGTTGTGTTTGTGAAGCTTCATGAACTTTGAGCTCCAATCATTGCGTGGGATTTTCCGATCGAACGACAATGTTTGTTCCTCACTGCATTCAACTAACCGTTATCGACTTCTCCCTGTTGATGAACTCAGTGAACTTCTCGCTGTTTAATTAACTCAGTGTTTCACTTGCCGCCCCGCCAACGCTGCACGAAAGCTTCTTTTGAAACTAATTAGCTTTCTTCTTGCTAAGTGAGTCATATTCTAATCAACCCTAACATTTGGTTGGCTTGACAAAGCATGACGAACAGAATCAATACGCCTCCTTCGATAAACAAGATTTTCCCCGAGTGTACAATAATAATAATGTTGATTAACTTTTGAAGCCAAGTGACTTTAGTGGGAGAAATTATGGAACATCGAGAGATTTGTGTGCGTTGAAAGTGGAAAGGAAGAAACAGCTGCGTTGTGCTATCCTCTGTCGTTTCTGTGACGTTCTATGAACTTTGAACTCCAATGATTACCTGGGTTTATCCGATCGAACGACAACGTTTACAAGTTAAGTAAACCTACTGGTTTTCTACTCAGTGGTTCAGGTTTACGTTGGAAATGGAACCACCCTTCAAAGCAGAAAGGGTTTTTTTCACCTTACCATTAAAAAACAATTCGGCAAGTTGCAGCAACAAGGGGCCAAATATGAGTTGAGATCGGGGGGGTACTCCACCAATATTTGGGTATAGGTGAGCGCCACTGAGGGTTTGAAACCCTGACCCTGTTTAGGATAAAAAAAAGTCCTAAAATACATCCCCTGTTTAGCAAAACAAACTGAAGTTTATTACCCTGTTTAGGACAAAAACCAAAATGCATCCTGTCTTGTTTTAATGCCATTTATTGGCAATTGCTGTAGAGCAAGTTCGCATCATAGTGATTGCTTTTGTATACAGTGAACTTCGATGTAACGAACCCTGTATAACGAAGTCCTTGGTATAACAAACGATTTTTTTTACCCCAATGGTAGTCTGGTAGTAAAATATATGAAAAAAAAAACCATCTACATAACGAAAACTTGTTATAGCGAACAATTTTAGCCAGTCCTCGGTCCTTGACCCTTGGTTATATCGAGGTTGCACTGTACTTGGAGTACATACAAATTTATCTAGGCAGTATCATTTTGACTGACTTACACGAAATTATATGCCCTGTATCGGACATACTCACACAAAATTATATACCCTGTTTAGCACAGAGAGATAAAAATCCATACGCTGCTGTCCATTGGCACACCCGGTATAGGCCGTATGAGGGAGCAACCCCCGGAGTTGAAACTCTAGTATCATAAATAGTAAATATAAACGTAGTAAATAGTATAGAACTATTTTGGAAATAAATTTAGGTTTTTTTTGTTATCGACATGCATTTAATAAAAATAAACATGATAACCTTAGCAAGAAACGACGCAAAACTGACGTTTTGGAGGTTAGCTCCTCATTAGAGCAGCAACAGACAGCCAATACAGGAAACCTCAGCTGTTCTTAATTCCTTAACGCATTTAACTTACCGTTATCAACTTCTCGCTGTTTAAAATTAACTCATTGCTTTACTTGCCGCCCCGCCGACGCAGCATGAAAGCTTCTTTTGAAACTAATTTACTTTCTTCTTGCCAAGTGA